TCCGGATGCAGCCAAGGATCTCAAGCTTGGTCTCCTCACCTGTAATCACCTCACTGGCTGTCATGAGCATCAAAGGGAGTAACAGGCAGACGGCCTGGCGTGGCATCTCTTTGCCCTCTCTGACTCTACCCTCACTGCTTGGCAGCTACCTCAGTTTACCCCTCAGGGACTGGGTGATCAGATAAACTTGATCTGATAGCGTAGTCTCACCGGCCAGATTCCCAAGGGATTTTGTTATGGACCTAACTCCCGTCTGTCAGTCGCTGGGGTGGGTTGGTGGGGAGGGGAGCGTGGTCCGGGAACAAAGGGGCCTTTGGTCTCCCAGGGGTACCCCCAAGCCCCACCCCATCCTGGAATGAAGATACCTGGGCCATTGGGCGAGTGAGCAGGCGGAGGTTTCTGGTATTGGACTGAGAGCCGGGGAGCTGAGTGTGGCTGAGGGGAGTGGTCCACGTGGGCAGAGTGAGATCCTGGACAAGGATCCCCTCTCCAGCGTGGACGGTGCGCTTCTCTTGGTCTCTACACAGACATGGCAGGCGACCTTGACGAGAGTGGACGAACAATACTGCTGGCTGCTGACGCCCATGCTGTGGGCTTGACAAGTGTCCTTTCCAATCGTCGGGGCACCGTGTGACACAGGTGGAAACTGAGGCTCAGGAGGCGGAGCTTCTTGCCTGGTTGGGGGTGCAGGAGAATCTGCACCTGTTTGGCTGCTCTCTCTCTTGAGTTATTGTAATGAAGGTCAAAGGCGTGAAGGAGTAATTCCTTCTCTGAAGGATTGGGCTTCCCAGGAGAGGGTGGCTGGGTGCCCTCGGAGGAGCTACTTTGCTCAGTGGGCCTCAGTGTACTCACCTAGGAAATGGGTGCCCTCCTCCTACCTGCCCAGGTGGGCGTGGGCTGAAAGGGCCTTGGGGAGTGGTCTGAAGGGAAGGGGGCTGAGGACAGGTCTGTGTGCACCAGCTCACTCTTCTCTCCCGCCCACCCTCCCTCCCGTGAACATACGGAGACCTGCTCTGAGCCGGCTCAGGCCCGGGGCGAGGACTGTCGCTGAGAACACGCAGCCTTTGCAGCCATCCTGATTCGACGCCGGCCCTGTCATTTACTGGCCGGTCCCTTTCCTCTCTGGGCCTTGGTTTCCCCACCTTGTTGTCCACCTCCTGGGTCATTGCCTTTCACGATGACAGTGAAAGGCACCACAGAGGGGACCCGGGCTCTGAAGGCTCCGCTCCTTTCCGGGGATCCCAGAGTCCCGGAGGTGGGACCCCTGCTCTCAGAGCTCGAGGTCCAGGTGCCGGCGACAGCCACATGGTCACTGTGCAGCTGTCACCCAGGCTGACCGGGCCACGGCTGCTCTGGCCCAGGGCAGGTACAAGGCGGTGCTGGGAAAGCCAGTCCCAGCCAGTGGGGGAGGGAGAGACACCGACACGGTAGCCAGGGGCTGTGCACTGTATCCTAGATCAGCAGGGACCTGAGACCATGGCCACTTGGGGAACGTGCTTAAGGAATCTGGAGCCCTGCACGCACCGGATGTGGGGGAGGCTGTGTTTGCCCAGCGGTGGGAGCCCGGCTGGTTCCTCAGTGGGGGAGGGGCAGCCAGGATGCGCCTCTGACGTGGGGGAAGCCTGGGAAATGGGAAAACCGGAGGAGGCCTCGTGTTTACACCTCTTCAGGCCCCCTCCCCAGGGGCGGGGGGAGTCTGAGCACCGTGGAGAGCGCCCCCAGAGCATCTGGGCCTGGGGGCCGCCACGACTGGGAGGCTTTCCAGGGAGCCCCGGCTCTACTGGGAGGCGCCCTCCTGGGGCCTGGGAGGCAGCTGGCATCGCCTAACCCTGCAATTAGCAGCTGAGGAGGCTGGATGGTGGTGGTGGTGGTGGCAGTAAAGTGTGGGGGGGCGGGCTGACAGCTACACTGGTGCTGCCTCAACCTCCGGCCCCCTCACTCACTGCCCCAGAGTGGAGGGGTGCCCGGGTGGCTGTGGGCACCCAGGCACAGGGCACTGAGGTCTTGGGAGGGGATGCAGAGCATAAGGAAAGCCAGAAAAATAACAGTAACAGTAAAGTCATATTATTGGATGTGGGTTTGGACAAGCCGGTGGCTTTTGTTCCCATTTTACAGACCAGGAAACAACAGCCTAGAGAGACACAGGGGCTGCTAGAGAGCTCACAGCCCGTCAGGAAGCAGCTGGTCTAGAAGCCAGGCTTGTCTGGAGGGCTGGGGCGCAAGGGGCTCACTCTTGGGTACGGGTTTGAGGCAGGGAACCCCAGGTCTGGGCAAAAACAACCTCAGCTGGCGAGCTGGGGAGGCCGAGCCTTTAGAGCAGATTCCGGGGCCCTGAGCTTCAGGCTGCAGGGGGAGGAGGGGCAGGATCTGGCCCAGCCGGTTCTCCAGCCTGTCCAGGCACCTGAGGAGGCGGAGGCGGGACCCAGCTACCCCCGGGCTACTGTGGCTTTCTTGGAAGGCTTAGCTGACCAGCAGAAAGACCCAATAGAACCAGTCCAGCAGGTATTGCAGTGGGACTGGGGTGGGGAGCGGGGAGGGGAGGTCCCGGGTGGGGGTGGTTCTGGCTTTAACCTTTTACCATCCCATCCATCCATCCTTCTTTCCTTCCTTTTAGGATGCTCACTAGGCCCAGGGCACTGTGCTGGCTGCTGAGAGGAGTTTTTGCCCCGTAGGACAGAGCACCTGGTGGGGCCGGAGAAGCAGACAAGTGACAACCCATTAATGCTCTCAGAATGAAGTGAACTTGGAAGGGCTGGTGGGACCCTGGTGGGGGAGGGGCCATCAGGCTGGCAGTGAGGAAGCTCATCTAGGCTGCAGGGCTCTGGAGGGGGGCTGGAGGGGCATCGTGAGGAGTGAGGGTCTGGCCTCGGCAGCTGACCTGGAATGAGGGTGTCGCCACTCACCAGCTGTGTGGCCCTGGGGTCGTCACTCGCTCCTTGGAGCCTCTGCATCCTCAGTGGTAACTGGGAGGATGGGAGTGCCTGCCTCACGGGTAGGAAAGCCCATGGCATGGGCCTCTATGCACACTGCTCCTCTCACGGTTTCCTCACCTGTGCACAGAGGAAAAACACTCGCAGGCCTCCAGGGGCCAGGCACTCACAGAAATGAGGTGGGTGTAGGGTGAGGCTGCAGAGCGTGGTGGGGACCGCGGCCCATGGGGTAACTCTGTGCCCAGGGCAGGGGGCGCCCGCCGCTCAGCCCCACGGGTGTGTCCATGCGGGAGTGTGAGCTCAGTGCCTCCAAGGCGCTGCCTTCTCAAGAGAAAGAAAGCTCTATTTTTATGAGAAAACCCCAGGACTAATATTAGCGATGCATTCGTTTCTACAGCATCGTGCGAGCCAAAGCTGCCACTTCTGTTGGCAGATGCTGCCTCCACCACCATGGCCACAGGGAGGGGAGACCTGTGCAGGGAGGTAGCCCGCAGTCCAGGCCCGGACCATCCTGCAGCCCTTTGTCTGTGGCTGCCTCCCCTTGAGTCTTGGGTTTCCCTTGGATAAAGGAGGGGGGAGGCCAGACCCCCTCCTCACTGACATTCTACTGAGCGGCCCCGCCCACAAGCAGGGGCTGGAATGGGGCCCCTGCTCAACACTATCTCGCTGGAGGTGCCAGGGAGTCTGGGGGAGCCAGCCGCTGGTCTGCTCTGTGTCTGGGAATGGCATGTCTGCCCGGGAGCTTGGGAGGGGCGGGGCGGCTCTCAGGGCTGCTGTCAGTGAGCGCCTGGTTCCTAGCTAGCTCCCAGGGGTCAGAGGGCAGCATTTTCCAGCCACTTCTGGGGCCCACTTCCTGTTTGGGAGAGAAAACAAAAAGACCCCTGGCAGGAAATGGTCTTCTTCCCGCAGCCCCTTTTCCGATGGCCCTGGCTTATGGGGAAAGACCCACTGGGGGGGATCCTCATGGCTGGGTGTCCCCGACTCCATCCGCTCCCCTTGGAGCGCAGGAGGGGTCAGGGGCCTCCCTGTCATGACAGCAACCCCCACCTCTCAGGCATCGCTAGTTTAGGCCTGATAACAGGCAAATACTCAGTGCCCGGGTTTATGACCCCCAGCTGGGCTCCTGGGCCTGCCTCTCCTCGCCTGTCAGCCCCCAAGGCTCATGGCTTCCCATGGTTGTGGCCTCAGGGGTCCCTCAAAATCCTTGGATGCTGCTCCCCACCCCTAGCAGGGAGCCCAGCCTCTCCTTGCATACCCCTGACACAGGGAACTCACCACCTCCCGCCTGCTAGCACAATTCTGACGGAGCCTCCAGTCGCAGAAATCAGGCACCGGGGCTTCTCTAAAGGGTCTCATCACGGGCAGGTGTCTCGAATGCCACCTCGACTTGCCAAGGTTCAGAACTGTGTGCTGCTGTGTTAATAACAGTTCCCACCAGGTTTAATGTAGGTCTGTTGGTTACAGAGGACTTAGAGATTAAGTATCCAAAATAAAATTAAAATTACCTATAATTTCACTACCTAGAGCAGGGCCGGGGGAAAGATAAAAGGATTTCTTATTTCTTGTGTTTACACTAACTTCTGGGTAAACTACCAGTCACCTGAACTTCATCCCTCCCAGCTGGCATGTCCCTCCTCTCCAGGGCATACCTTCGAGTCCTTCAATAACAACGAACCTTTACTGAGCTCCAGATGAACCCACCTGATTCTCAGGATGGCTCTGCGAGACATCGGATTTACAGACAGAGAAACTGAGGCTCAGAGAGGGCAAGTAACTTCCCCAGAGTTGCACAGCCAGGAAGGGGCAGAGCTGAGATTTGAATCCATCGATGCCAGATTTAAGTCTCCTCTTCTCCAGAGAACACGTGCACCATCCCGTCTCCGTCCCCTCATAGGAGCTGGATCCCGGACCATTCCGCAGCTCAGATGTTGATTCGATCATTCTTTCTCACATTCATTCATTCATTAAGTCACTTGATCTTTTTGAACTTACGTTCGGTGCCAAGTGTAGGCCGATGCTGTCCCCCACACCGCCTGCCCAGCTCTCAGGACTCCACCCCAAGAACCTCAACTCATTTATTATTACAAAAGACTGGGTTTATCACATTGTACTATGAACAGCTCCCGCCCAGCCCCCAAGGCTCAGAGAGGCAGCCTGGGTTGGGAACCCAACGACCCTCTCTTGACACCCCATCCCCCCTCCATGAAAGTCCTGGCAGGTGGGGGAGCCTAGACCAGGCCTTGGGGCGGTATTGTGTTTATAGCACCAGGCATATATATAAAAATATATCTATATATATAAACATAGGCCGTGGCTTCCCTTGGTAGGGGTGCTCCCAGGGTGAGGACAGGCAGCTGCATCAGTGAGTGGCCGGTCAGCCCGAGCACCCAGGGGGGCTGTGGCCTTGGGCCAGTCCTGCCAGCCCTGGAGCTCTAGGCCACCTGGATCTGTAGGTCCTCGTCCTCGTCCAGGTCGCTGGCTCCATCCCCGGCCTCCTCAGGGCCAAAGCGAGCGCTGCGGATCTTCCCGAAGAGGGGGGCATTCTGCTGCTGCCTGCGGAGCCTGGGGGAGGTGACAGCGGGGTCAGGGCGTGGGACTCATCCCACCGCTGCTGCCAGGCACCAGGTTGGGCCTTTTACAAACATGACCTCATCACACCCTCCTCCCAGAGGTCCCTGAAAAGACAGGAGGTGCTATTATCACCTCCATTTTACAGACAAAGAAACCGAGGCAGGTGAGTAATTTGCTCAGAGTAATTTGCGACAGGGGGCTGGGGGCTGGGAGAGGTGGGCGGCTGCCCAAGGTCAGGCTGCTGGGAGTCCAACCCCAGCCCGGCTTTAAAGACCACAGGGGGGCGGGGGCGTGGTGTCTCAGCCCCCTACATCCCCAGTGTCTACGAGAAAGCGCCCCACCCCAGTTCCTCTCACATTAAAGTTCCACAGCCAACATGAACCAGGCGAACCTGGGCCCTGGGAAGAGCTGCGGAGGCGGATACCCATCCCCCCGCAGAGTGGCGGCCTGGCGGCATCTTACAGGAAACATGAATTATTAACACGGCGGGGAGGGGCGCAGCCAGGGGCCTCCATTACCGCCTGTGATTTAGTGCCGGCCCCGGAACATTAAAGCACGAAAAGTTGGAAAAGAAAATGAGGCAGCGGTCCTGCGCGGCCGCGCCCTCCCCGATGGAAGCACTTGAGAGGCTGGGCAGCGCCTGCCTGTCCATTTTGGGAGTTTATGGCTCCCGGAGAATGCGGCCAAGGCGGCGGGAAAGCCCTGGGGCCAGGCGGCCTTTTACGGTGTGCGTGCTGGGGCGGGGGAGTGGGCAGAGCTGGCCAGACACAGCCAGAGGGACCTGGACTCATGCCTGGGCCCCGGCCCAACACTTTAGAGGTCACATCCCAAGCAGAAGGGAAACTGAGGCTTGGTTGGCCACGTCACCCGGCTGTTAGGCCTGGCTCCATAGGCTGTACCCTTCCCAGGAACTCCGCACACAGCAGCACATAGTAGGCGCTTAGTACATAAGGGCTCAGATGGCAGATGGCCAAGGGTGGGGGTGTGGCTGTGGAAGGACCGACCCTCTTGTGCCTTAGTTTCCTCATCTGCCGACCCCCTAGAAAAAAAGATCTCCCCCTTTCCTTCTTACAGGGGCTCGATTCTTGTAGCACCGTATCTGACCCACCATGAGTCCCCCCCACCCCCCTGGAGTAATAGTACCAGCAGCAGCTGGCAGTTGTTCGGCTTTCATGATGTGCCAGGTACTTTTACAAACACACACCAGCTCCTTTCATTCTAACAACCAAGCGGTAAGAGCTGTCATCGTGCCCATTTTACAGATGCGGAAACTGACACAGAGAGGGTCAGTCAGTGCCCCAGGATCACACAGCGAGGAGGGCCAGGGCCAGGATGCCCACCACCCAGGATGCAGAGCCCAGGCTCCCTCTAGTCCATGAAATAAGAGGAGGGGAGTAAGGGCCTGCCCGGGGCCCAGCCCAGGAAGAGTGGGTCAGGGTTGTGGTTATGAGGCGCCCCAGGTAGGGGGCTTGTGAAGTGGGGAGGGCTTGGACCTGGTGCTCTCTGATATCTTACGGCTCTAAGGGGTGTCAGAGAGAGGGTGCTGGGATGGGGGGTTGGGGGAGAAAGGCAGAATGTGCTGGTGGGTTCCCCAGACCCTGTGGTCTGTCTGAGGACTCAGGCCCATCATCAGGGTGGGGCTCCCCCAGTTCCTCTCATCCCAGCTGGCCTGGGGTCCACCCAGCCCAGGACCCTGAGGGCTGCTTGTTTTTCTTGTCAGTGGCTTCTCAGGCCCAAGGGCCCTACCTATTACTCCACCTTGGCCCTGACCTGTTTGGCCGCCCTTCCTGCTCTCTGGCTCCAGGAGACAATTCCAGGGTCCCAGCTGGTCTCACTTCCTGCTCTCACTCCCCTTCCCTGGTTTCCTGGCCCCGGCCCTGGCCCTTCCTGCCTGGAGGGGACAGGATTTTGGCCCCAGGGAGCCCTCTTCCTTCTCCCCGTTCTCCTCTAGCTGAGCTCGGACCCTGCCCCGGAGGGGAGGAGGGGGGCGGGTTTCCTTTAGCTGGAAGTCTTTCTGCCCTGCTTCTGCGCCCTGGCCAGGAATCCTCTCCCCGAGGGAGCCCCATCCCCCCAGGGGTGCACGTGGGGGCCCACCTGGACTGCACGTGCTCTAGCTGCACCTGCAGGTTCTCGCTCTGCTCCGTCTGCTCGTCCAGCGACCGCTGCAGCTTCCGTGCCTGGTTGTGGGCCTCGTCCAGCTGGGGGGCGAGCAGGGCCAACAGCATGGGGTCACCGTGGCTGGGCCAGCCTGGCCTGCCTCCTGCCATTCACCCGTGGGGCTGTCCTTCCCGAGAGCAGGCCCTGTCCTCTGAGGCCTCGACCAAGGCCCACCTCCTCCAGGGAAGCATCCCTTGTGCTCCTCTCCATCCCTGTTGCCCCTCCCTCCTAAACCCTCCCCTCCTCCCATACTCCACGCTACTGGCCCATCCATTAACCCACCTACCCATCTACCCTCATCCATCTGTCCATGTGACCATTCATCCATGGAACTATCCATCTGCCCATGAAGATACCACTTACCCACTCACCATTCATTAATCTCCTTAGCCACCCCTTCACCTTGCCTGTCCACGTGTCCTTCCATTCTCCCAGACACACCTATCTCTCCATCCTTCTGTCCTTCTTTCCCTGTCCATTCATTCTTCCTCCCACGGATCCAGTCAGCGGTCTATCCATCTTTCCACTGTCGTCCATCTTTCCATATACTCACCCGGCATCCATCGATCCACCCAATCACCCAGCAGACATCTGTTACCACATCTCATCCATCCATCCTTCCTCCCGCCTTCTCTCTCTCCCATTCATCTGTCTACCTGGTCCCGCATCCATCTGTTCACCCATTCCTGGAGTGATCCTTGTCTTTCCATTTAACCACCTACAGTCTACCCACTCACCCACCCATTAATCTATTCAACCTCTCATCAACCTCGCCTGTCCATTTTTCTTCCCACCCTCCTACCCACACACCGATCTACCATCCATCCATCCATCCCCCACCCACCCTCTCTACCCTGTGCACATCCTGAGGGTCAGGCTCATGCCGCACGTCGGGGACTCAGCATAGAGTGACACTCCTACCGCAGCCGAGGTCTGGAGGCCGCCCTCCGGGCCCCAGCGGTGCTCACCTCGTCCTCAGCCTGGGCCAGCTCCTTCTTGAGCTCCTCCACCCGCAGCCGCAGCTTCTTCACCTCCGCCTCGTGCTGCTCCACCCGCCGGTTGGCATGTGCCAACTCTGCCACCTTCTCCTGGAACTGTTTCTTCAGCTTGCCATGCACGTGCTTCAGGTCTGCCAGCTCCTGCAGGGAGCAGAGGTGAGGGGAGGGCTCAGTGTCCGAGGGCACTGTGTCAGGCAGGTCTAGGGGCGCTGGTGTCCCCTCTCCCCAGAATCTCTCCCCTGGTGTCACGAATACCAGCACTAGAGGTTTGGCCGGGCAGCTGGAGGCTAGAGGTGCCATCCAGTCAGGTGAGAAGGCCTGGGTGGGTGACTCAGTGGCTCCATGTTGCACGTGTAACTTTGAGGTGCCCAAAGGGAATGACATGGGATGTCCAGCAGGCTATTGGAGCTGAGTCAGGTGTTTGGGGAGGGGTGAGGTCTGGAGTCTTCGGTGCAAGCATTTGTTGCATAAATAGGAGGGCTGTTGAGAGGATTAAGCGACATGATGGACAAAAAGCACTGGCGTAGGGCCTACAGTAGGTGCTCAATAAATGCAGGTCTGCAGTGATCACTGAGCCTGACCCAGAGAGGGTGCCCAGGAGGAGCAGCCTCTGTCCTTAGCTGTCACTTCAGGGGTCCCCGGGTCCCTGTGGGCCGACACTGGACACCCAGTAGGGGCTCTGCCCTGGCTGGATGGGGAGGCAGGGCCACCCCGGTCCTGGCCACGCCACCCACTGCCCCACCTTGTTCTTCTCAAAGAGTGCCGCCTGGCTGGCCCGCAGGTCGCAGTCCAGGGCGCTGGCTGTCTGGCGCCGCCGGCGGGCCAGGGCCTCCTCCAGGTCCCCGACCTGCGCCCGCAGCTTCTTGTTCTCCCGCTCCAGGCCCAGCTTCTCGGTCTCCAGCCGCTCGCGGCGACCCCACTCGGCTGCGTTCTCCGCCTGCAGCCGCTCCATCTGGAACAGGACAGGGTGAGGGTCCCTGGGGAAGGGGCACGGAAGGACCGGAGCTGGCCTCCCCCCACCCTCAATCCTCCTGGAGTCATTTCTGGCTCCAGGAAGCAGGTCCAGCTGCAGTGGCTATAATTAACCTGGGCCATTTCACGTGTGCAGGATGTGAGGGCGCTTCTGGTCTCTGTGTGGGAGAGGAACTGCCCCCTGCAGATTGGGGTACCCCCTGGGGTGTGCCTGGACCCCTTAGAGCACAGGCCTCTTTCAAGGGCCCCTGGACCCCCAGCCCTCCCAGGTCCCCAACGGAGGCCCCACCTCGCCCCTCAGCTCAGCCATCTTCCTGTCCATGCTGGACCTCGCCCCCAGCTCGTCCTCCAGGTCTTCGGACATGCGGCCCAGCTCGTCCTGGTGAGCCTCCTTCAGGATGCTGAGCTGCGGGAGACAGCCAGCCTGGTTACGTGACCACCTCCCAGAACCAGCTCTGAGAGTGGGCCCTGGTGAGAAGTGCCCAGCAAAGAGGTGGTACCCAAATGGGCCACCGGGTGTGCAGAACGGACCTTGAATCTGACCACTTGTAGGAAATGACATCTCTCATTTCCTACCTCATTACCATCTAGCCCCCCAGTGTCCCCTCCTAGCCCCTCATCAACCCATTTTCCACAACAGTCGCCTAGCGCAGTGGTTGGCAAACCGCGGCTCGCAAGCCACATGCGTTTCTTTGGCCCCTTGAGTGTGGCTCTTCCACAAAATACCGACTTCTGCGCATGGGCCACGAAGTTTCAATCGCACTGTATGTGCGCGCCCGCACGTGGTATTTTGTGGAAGAGCCACACTCAAGGGGCCAAAGAGCCTCATGTGGCTCGCGAGCCGTGGTTTGCCGCCCAAGGACCTAGAGTGAGCTTTTAAGAAGATAAATACAATCATGTCCCCATCCCGGGTTCCTTAGGGTAAGGACCGACCCCTCCCTATGGTCTCACAAAGCCCCCTCACCCCTTTCCTCTTAGTTCATTGTGTGGCCTCCTCTCTAAGCCTCATCAAATACACCCTGGCCACCCCAGGGCCTTTGCACATGTGGCTCCCTCTGCCTCATACACTTTTCCTGAGGTATTTTGCAGCACAGACTCATTCTCAAGCTTTGGCCTAAATGCTCCCTGCTCAGGGAGGCCTCTGTCCGCCCCACCTGCAGGGGGTGCCTCCTCCACTTGCCACCCTCCCTGCCCCACTAGAGTGGGAGCTTGGGAGGGCAGAGAGTTGTCTGTCTGTCCACCTTTGTACCCCTGTATGGCCTTGGCGTCGGGGAGCCCTCCATGGACACTGGCTGAACACAGTCTGCGTGTGGGTGCAGGATTGGCCGCACCAGAAAACCCTGGGGCGCTTTGACATCGTGCAGAGTCGCTGTTGACAGCAGGGAAAACCAAAAACTACCGGGCCGTGCCTGTGATGACAGGGATGGCCTTGCATACATATGGCGAGGGAAAGAAGTCAGGTGCAAAAGCGAATCCTTGTAAGTAATCTGTGAGACTGCCCGTCTGTGTTTTATTCACTTTCCGCAAATGATCACACTTCACAATTTGGGAAAATTAAAAAGATCCCTAAACCCAAGTCCCAAGGATGATGATTCAGGAGGATGAGGGTGGGTCTGGGAATCTATTTTAGGAGCTTCCCTAAGGCCAGCGTCCCTTCCCGGGCAGATGCAGGCCCTGAGGTCTGTGGTCCTCCCGCCTTCGGAAATGCAGCCGATCCAGCCAGCTTTCTCGGGGTGGCTGTGCCCCCTGGTGGCCGTGGGGGCCTGCACAGGAGGCGGGAAGGGCTGCCTGCTGAGTCCACCGTGCTGTGCTGGTGAAGCTGAGTCCCCTTTCTGCTGGCTGGAGCCTCAGTTTCCTCACTTATGAAATGGGACAGCCGCCTGACGGCCACGAGGCTTCAGTGAGACCTCGCACACTGTAGGCACCCACTGAATGCACCATCGGACGCCTCCCCTTCGTCCTGGTCTACCAAGCTCTCCTTGCAACCTCACCTCTCACTTACTACCCTCCAGGCACGCTGGCTCATTTTCTGGACAACGTTAGGCTTGTTCTGGCCTCAGGACCTTTGCATTTGCCGTGCCTTCTGCTCGGAACTTTGCCCCCGTATCTTCTCAAGGGTGGCTTCTTCTAATCCTCTTAGGTCTTGCCTCAAACGTCACCTTCTTAGGCCTTTCCTGACCCACCACCCCATCCTTATACTGCTTTGACTACTTCATAGCTCATGAATGTATCTGCCTGGTTCCTGCCCGTCCTCCCCTGTTCCTCTTCCTCAAGGCAGGGTCATTGCCCACCCTGGCACTCAGAACAGTGTGTGGCCGGTGCTTGACAATCAATGAATCCCCTTCTTTTATGCACTCCCACTCCTGAAATTCAATAGCACAATGCTGCTTCCTCCAGGAAGCCCTCCCTGATCTCCAAGACTCACTTGCTTGAGCATCTCCTGCTTGGTCTTGCTCAGCTCCTCATACTTGATCTTCCACTGGCTGAGTTCCCCCTCCAGCTTCTCAATGTTCCTGCTCAATGCCAGTTTATCCCTGGGGAGGGGGAGAGAGAGAGGCAGACATGAGGATGAGCCCACCAGCGCCCTCTGTTCAGAGTCCTCCTATGCAATCTGCACTTGCAGAACCCATGGCCAAAGTCCTTGCCTTGGCATTCAAGGTCCTGGCATCCCACATTGAGGCAGGCAACTGGTTTTGGATTTCTCCTGGAACTATACCCCTACCATGAGTGCATGGTGTGAGGAGGTGACCAGGCAGATGCCTCCCTCTCCCTGGGCCCCAGGATCATTTGCCAAATAGGACCCCGGCTCCCGTTTCAAGTACTGTGGTTCCCGGCAAGGCTTGGCTTGAAAACGTGGTTCTGCAGTTAGAAAAGCTGCAAAACACTGTCCAGTGACCTCGGATCTAGGGGTTTCCTCTTGTCATCATCACTGGGTGGGATCCCCAAGTTCTCCCATGACCCTGTGCAGGAAAGAGGCGCCATGGTAACAAGCATGGTGCCTGGCTCCGGCACATAGTAAGTGCTCAACCAACAGCTGCACTTACCGTTACACTCAGCACACTGCGCTTCCCCATCCCATACCACGCCCAGCTCCCTTTCTGAGGGTCTAATATTTCATGACTCGAACACAGTGTTCTAAGAGGAGACAACGCCACCCTCTAGGAGGCATGTTAGAAATCCATGGGGATGGTTTTCGTTGTCACGATGACAGGGTCATTTAGTGGGCAGGGACCAGGGGTACCCGATACCCGGCAGTGCCCAGGACATCCTGCCCATCCAGGAATTACCCTGCATCTGGTAATGTGTACATGACATCCTGGGGGTAAAAAGGATCTCGAACCTCACTCTGATTTGCATATTACATATTATTTCAATTAATCTCTCTCTCTCTCTCTCTCTATATATATATATAAAAGCCTAAACGACTGTTATGACCAGCTGGTAGCTATGACACACGCTGACCACCAGGGGGCAGAAGCTCAATGCAGGAGCTGCCCCCTGGTGGTCAGTGCACTCCCACAGCCAACCTCCTGCGGTCCCCGCCCCCCCCAAGCCTGACAGCCTCAATTGCCCCAATGGCCAGGCCGAGGGACCCCACCTATGCATGAATTTGTGCACCAGGCCTCTAGTAGTAGTAGTAGTAGTAGTAATAATAATAATAATAATAGAAAACTAGCATGGGGTTCCGAGGCAGAGCACACTGTTCTAATGCTTCAGGATTCAAGCCCAAATAGAATCACTCCCCTTTGGTGAGTCTCTAGTTCTGTGACACTGATGTTCATGCTGTGATGCTGAGGGTGCCTGGCCCACCCCCCTGGCACCTGCCTGCCCCCAGCACTCACTCTCGTTCCTTGAGCAGCACCTTCTGGGACTCATCCAGCCGCAGTCGTAGGGCCGTCAACTTGGAGGCCTCCTCCTCCATGGCAGCTGTGTCCTCCCAGGGCAGCCGGCTGCGCTCCTGGCGGCTCGAGCTGCCCCGTGGGCCCCCGGTCCCCGCACTGCGTGTCTCCCAGCAGCCCTCGGGCTCCTCTGGTCTGCTCTTCAGCAGGCTCTCCACCATCTCCAGCTCCTGCGGGGACCAAGGTGGAAGCTGGACCAGTGGCAGCTGAGTCCTCTTGGCCTCTCCCAGGCCCTGGGTCTGGAACCAGCTTGGTGGGTAAGCTTGGGCAAGTCACACAGCCCTCTGGGCCCCAGATCCCTGCCCCTGCATCCTAGAAAGGGGGGGACACAGCCTCCTCTGGGCCTCCCCTTTCTCCTGGAAATGCAGAAGAGACGGCCACTAGGGTTCCCTGCATCCAGGAGAGGTAGTGAGCTCCCTGTCACTGTAAGTATGCAAACATATCCTGGGACATTGGTGTGGATCAGTGTAGAAGTAGAGGATTCCTACAACAAATAGGAACTAAATTCCTTCAAAAGGAATTCTGGCTTTAAGGTCCCATTTTTCAGGTGCAAACACGAAGGCACCGCGAGATAGGTGACATGGTAGAGATGCACAGTAAGGTGGCCCTGTGAGCAGAACCGGCTCCCAGACAGGAAGCAGCGAGGGATTATTAACCCAATGCCAAGCCCCTCTCCCTTCAGCCCCCCTGCCCTGCCCGTGTCCACCCCCAAGGCCTGCCTTGGCCACAAACCCCAGACACCCTGTTCCAGCCTGCCTTCCCCAAGGCCCCTCCAGATGAGGGGGCCACTCCCTTCCCTGTCTGGCTCTCCATGTCCCTACTGGACTGGGACAGTGGCTCCGAGGACTCCCCAAGGACTGAGATTCTCCTCCTGTATCTCGAAGTCTGGTGGTGGTGGCGGGGGGTGGGGGGGAGCTCAGGTGCCACCTGGTCCAAAGCCCTATGTCACAAACAGGGAAACAGGGAGGAAAGGGACTTATTCTGGTCGCAGAGCAAAGCAGCTGGGCTGGCAAACAAACTCAGGCTGCAACCCAGGGCTCTCCCCACCGCACCTGCCACCTCCTGGGCTGTGACTGACAACCAGGACAAGGACAGGACAGGAGGAGACTTGAGGCTGGCTGGCAGGGCTGTCATGGGCTGCCTCACAGCAAAGCAATGATTGCCACCCCCAAACACCAGGCAGGCCCAGGGAAGAG